TCCCTCAAGGAGCTGCCTTTCCTCTCAGGCCTGTCATGGAAACACCTTGCTTGAGCTGCCGCCAGGCCTGGCCAACACTCGGAGGATGAAACAGTCTTTTTCGTGCCAGCCTGAGAAGTGATTTGCATGTGACTGCTCACTGAGTGTGCTGCAGCCTGTGAATAAAGTCAGCAGGATCTGGATTTTGACCAAACAGCAGCCCTGGCCAGGGATGAAAAGAGGGGTGGCTGGCTGTCGCTCTGTAATTATAAAGCCCCCTTAAGAAGCTTCCAGCTTTTTAAGCAATAATTTTACAAGCCTTATTCAAAGCCAGTTCCCTATGAAAAAGATGTTCAAGTCACATGAAGGGATCTTGCTCCAGTCTCTCCCTCTAAGATATAGACCTTCTTAAAAGTACTACTCTACATAACAGAAACAAGCGCATCGCAGGATGGCTCGCTGCTGAGGCAGTGACGCTCTCGCTTACTTTTTTACTATTTTTCCTTTTTCCCTTTTTAAAAAAATTTTGGCCATTATGAATATAAGATTAGCAGAAAGGAAGAACAAATTTAAACCACTGATCTGTACCTTTGGGACACCCTATTTCATTTTACTTCCTGCATGACCTTGGACAAATGACTTAAAGCCCATTAGGCTTTGGTGATGATAACCCTTCCCTTCTCCTGGTCCCATAGTTCACAAATGATGAATGTTACAGCTGATTCTGCTGCCAGCCATCATAGAAGACGTTTATTACACTGACCCGCAGCAAAGTTCTAGTTTCCAGCTTGGTTCTATTGTGAAAAATCTTGAGTCATTTCATACATTATAAGTAATTATATAAAAACTCAGAAGTGACCATTCTGATTGCCTTCATAACCCTAGCCTGCAAATTTTACCCAGTAACCCTATACCTGGTAGCTGAGCTGTAACTTGGCTACTGATTTCAGAATCAGTTGACAGTCTACTTAAACACTTGGTAAAGGCTTCCAGAGGTTTGTGAGCCCCTTTGTCAACAGAGACAAAAAATAAAGTTGTGAAAGGCAGCTATTTACAATAACACATTTACAAGTTAGTGTACGTGTATGCACTCTCACAGCATGGAGAAGATACATCAGGATCAAAATCTGGCTCTGAACTGACAAGGACTATTCCATTTAATTTTCTGAAATTACTTGAAGTAATTTTCTCCCACAAAAGCAGCACTGCATAAATTTTGGAATGTTATTTCTGAAAGCTGGGAGGGAAATTATGAACGTATTAAATGCTGAATAACAATATCTGCGTATTAGTATTGCAGCTGAGATCAAAGCCAAGCTGTGCCAGGTGCTGTGCAAACAGACCGTGAGAGCTGATCTCCACTGAAAAGTTTATAAACACCGTAACAAGTCTCTCAGATTTATTGGTAAACTGGTCCTGAATTGGAAAACAAACACTAGCAGCTTGCTCGTTTCACAAAAAGCTACAGTTGGAAGGGAAAGGCCTTCACTCCCCTGTCTTCCAGAAATACTTCCAGCCTCACAGGAGCATCTAAGGGATTAAAAATATACAGAGCAGGAAATGCCAGCTTTCCAAGACTAAGAGTCACCTCTCAGAGCCGTAGATAAACAAGGCAGGGAGCAATTGCTCACAAGCAGATGTGCCTCATACTGGCTATAAGAGCTCACCTAATCTCCTGAACAACCTGACCTGCTACCAAAGCAGCCCTTGTGCCTGAACAGTCTCCATGCTCTCTGTCCCTACTTCTCTTGAGGAAAAGAGCTCCTCCGCTCCTCCACCATTAGGACTCAAGCATCAGTGACGTGAACTCCAGGTGTGAGTGAACAGCCAGCTATCATCCTAAAAACACCTCTCTGGGTCCCATCCCTATCGCTTGTGAGTATAAGGGGTGCAACCCCATTCATCTTTTCTTTTTATCTGTGGTCTGCTCATTCACAAGCTCTCTGGAGAAATGAGCCAGATCCCACTCGGCTCCAAAATCAAATCAAATCAAGGACGCGGTATGCCTTTGGAAATTATGGTCTGTCCATAGGTAGACCTCTCTCTCTAGTTCCTGCTCTTCTCAGCTGGAGACAACTGGGCTGGCATCCTAGGAATATAAAAATGGACAAATACTCCTGACTTTCCTCTGTTGACAGACGCTGGAGTGCATATAGGAGATGGCATCAAGTGTGACTTTTCCACTTAACTGCTGTAGTGGCCGCAGAGCCCTAAGCCCTGTGCAGACCAGGGAGGAGGTAGGGTACCTGATCCCTACATGATGTTTAGCAGTGCCCAAGTGCCTGAGAAGGGCTGAAAAATTAACAATTTGCTGTTGGGACTTAATTTTTTTTATTGTTCATTCCCCTTCCTTTCCTCCTCTGCTTTCCACCTGTGAGGAGAGTGAGTGCAAGCTGGGAGAACAGGGTTCTGTTCCTTGCCCTTCCCAGTTTTCCCTGTGGCCTGAAGGGAGACTTGGAGCATTTCTAAGTGTCCAAATGTTCCCATCAAGTGCCCTCGTCATTACTGATGCTCACAGCCTTGGGACTTACAGTCCTGGTAGAATTAGCATGGATCCTAACACTCCAATACAATGCCTTCAGTAGCTGAGCTTAAATTCCAGTTCACCATTACAGGTGCCAGCAGGGACTAGTGCCTGAGCTGGAGTGGGGCCCCTCTCCCTGTGCTGGGGGTCCCTGCCTGCACAGCCTGTGGGCTCGCTTCAGAGCGGGAGCCAAAATGCCGGCAAAGGAGAGAAAAATCAGGAAGTTTTATCTCAAATATAAGAGCAACCCGTAACCTACAATCCAACTAGAAGCACATTTTAATTTACCAGAGCTTTTATAACACAAACATCCTATGGAGCACACACGACAGACCTAAGTGCCCACGGATGAGGCCTCTCATGCTCTGAGTGAGCGGTTGCGCTCCCAGCGTAGAGCGCTTTGGCTGTAGGGGAGGCTTGGGTTGGCTGGGACACACAACCTCCTTTAGACAGTTTTCAAAGCATAATTGAATAAACAGAAATTACATGGTACCGACACTGAGTTCGCTGCCAGGGCTTGGAGGAAGCACAGCTCTTTCTTGGTTACTCACTCCTGCCTCTGCCTGGCCCTGGTGCTCAGCCCCTGCTCAGCTCCTCGCTCACTCATCCTGTTCTGCGTGTTGTGTGTCACACCTCCCTGCGCGTCCCGCACCGCTCCCCAGCTCTGGACCCAAGCGGTCCCAAACTCACCGACTCCTGTCTCAGCCTCCCCTCCTTGGACTCAGCACAGGACACACAGAGGTGGTCACCGTGAGCCCACCCACCCGGCCTCTGCTTTCAAAACCAGGTGCAAAACTTGACAGAGGACTCCTGGACACTTTAAAAAACCAAAACCAAAACAAAACACAACAAGAGCGATGAAAGCATCTCCCCTCTTGCCTGATCCAGCTTTATTCTCCACTTTATTCTCCTTCATCAGGGATAAAAACATGCAGCCAAATTAAAGTCTGGGGACCCTATGGGACTCTTACAGCTGGAGGGCCGAGGCTGGATGGAGGCACCAGCCCGGCTGAC